TCTGCCATGAAAAATCAAAACCAGAAATAAAAAAACCATCTTTGTATGGATAAACCCAATTCCATAAACAAGTGGCGCACATAGAGAATGCACTGAGGAAACAAGTGATATTTGTCCTCAAAACAAATGGGTTTTCACTCCAATAAACAGTAAAGCACTTTCATATAGAGAGAGAAAGTTAGAGAGAGAGACTGACCTGGTTCATATGGGCAGTTCTTGGGAAATGGGCAGTGGAGCCTGCAATGCACAGATGAAATGGGGAGGAGAGAGAAATATATGATAGAGAAAATGAGGAGAGAGAAAGTTGTAGAGAGAGAATGAAGAGAGGCTTCTTGGACAGTTTTATTCATTTCATGGTGCGGTCACTCTCCTCCTTTTCTTTAGTAGGCCCACCACAATCATTATAAGCTTCTAACTTAATGCACTCTGTTCAAATTTACCAAACTGTCCTGATATTTTCCAAATGCCAACACAAGGACATAGAAATTGCTCTTGGGAATATCTACCAATACCTTAGGAAATTAAGGCCAAAATTCCCCACACTTTAAGTAAATCTCTCTCTCTAGAATTATGGCCAAAATTCCCCACTCTATAAGTATATCTGTTTCCCTCTCAAAAACTCTCTCGCTCTCTCTCTCTCTCTCTCTCAGGTTCTTTTTGGGTGGATCTCTCTCTGTCTCTCAGGTTCTTTTTGGGTGGATAACTATTTCTGTCTAGTTCTGCTGCAGAGATTTGTTTTATCCTTGTGAAGTGCTCTTTATCTCAATCCTCCTCATTGTTTTAAAGTTATGGAGCTGGATTAGAATCACTCGGTCTGAAGTTTTTAGTTATTTTTTTTTTTTTTTTTTTTTTAACAATGAATTGAGGCCTTTTGGTTCGATCTGAAGTTTTTAAATTTTTTTTTTTTTTTTTTAACAATGAATTGAGGCCCTTTGGTTCCCTATCTCTATGAAAAAGTGAGCGCTTTCTATTGGAATCGGTTGGGTTTTTTATGGAACCTAGTAACTCTTTTTTATTATTACTATTAATTTATTTTTATTTCTAATTTTTTATTTTTTATTCGGAATTGGAATCAATTTGAAATCCTTAGGATTTTTTTTTTTTGAGCGAGGAATTGGGGCCTCTTGATTCCTTGTCTTTATAAAAAATGGGGCGGTTTCTGTTGGAATCGGTTGGGTTTTTTATATAACCTAGTGGCTCCTTCTTTTTATTATTATTTTATTTTTATTTAGGGTTTTTTATTTTTCCTTAGCCAGATCTCTCGTCCAGATTGTCGATTCATAATGGTCTAAAACATCAAATTTTAAAAAAATTAAGTATTTAAATATCTACTCAATCTACACACTATTTTTCGATGATTTAGACTTCACGACTAGATATCAAAATAGATGCCTAGGCAGTTATAAGAGTTTCTAACACCGGAACACATCTTTTGGCAATATTTAGAAATGGGGCTTGCTTTGGTTGATGAAAATTGACATCTTATATGAAGTCGCAACATTTTATATAAGATTGCAAACTTAAAATGTACAATTAAGGTGCGCCTAAAAAATCTATCAGAAAGTATTGTTTTAACGTTGAAAAGCGCGATCTAATTGATCATCTCAACATTAAGATGTATGAATGTGAAAAAACAAAAAGATTTCAAATCCCAAAAATAATACATCTTGCAATATATTATCTAGACCGTCCATATTTAAGATTTTCATATGTTTATAAATCTACTTGATTTGAACTATTTTTTTAGTTTAAATTTTTATAATTAAAATTAAAATTTATTTTCAAGCCATCCTATAAAAATTTTACACCAAAAATATATATTATAATAAAATTTGGAGCTGGGACTTAATTTGATTATTTAAGGTAATCCCTCTAAAAGTCTCTGTCTATTATGGAGATTCACTGAATCTTTGTAAAGCTCTCGCCTGTGGTATTAATAACCAAAATTCCTCCATTTATTTAGCACATATGGCCAAACTCTCTCTCTCTCTCTCTCTCTCTCTCGAGATATTGAATTATGACAAATGTTCCTATATAACTAGAAATGAGACCAAAGTCTCTCTCTGCCTAGTTATAAAATGAAACCAAAGTCTCTCTCTTAGAGGTGGCAATGGACCCCACTAAACTTGGGACCCACTAGTAGACCTACCTCAGGTTTGGATATAAGTCCAAATTTTGGATCCGAATATTATTTGGGTTCGGGTATGGGTCTAGCCGGATCCGACCCATACCCAACCCATATCCATAGTCATATGTCTTTAGAGGCACCCTATGTGTTTATATTGTCACAATAGTGGCAACATTTACAATATTATTGACAAAAAAAAAAAAATCATAGTTATAAGGTATATGATAGTATAAAAAAAGGCAAAAAAAAAAAACCTCATAGTCATAAGGTGGCAATGGATCCGATCAAACCCGGGACCTGATGGATCCAAGGGTCCAAATTTTGGACCCGAGTACTATTGGGTCTGGATCCAGGTCTAGCCAATCCCGACCCGTTGCCACCCCTACTCTCTCTCTTTACCTCTCAACTATGTAGAGTAAATCTTTTTCTCAAAAAAAATGAGGGTGCAGTTTGCATACGGATGCATCCGTAGGTGTAGAGGTAAGGGTGCACCTTCAAATTTTACCATGGTATATAATTTTGATGTAAAATGTTTTTAGGATTATCTCAAAATCTGTTTTTACATCTAATTATAAAATTTAAAATTTCAAAAATAGTTAAAATCAAGTAGATCTATAAACATATGAAAATCTTGAAAATAGGCAGTGTAGATAATATGTTGTAAAATGCACTATTTATAAGACTTATCTATACGTCTGGCAATAGGCCTTACGGGTTTTTATTTTTTATGGTTATACATCTCGATGTCAAGATAATAAATCAAATGTTTTTAACATTAAAACTACTTTTTTTGATAGATTTTTTAGGTGCATCCGTAGTTCTACATATATAGAGTAAATCTTCATAAAACTTCATAAAACTTCCACTTATGGTATCATGGCCAAAATTATTCTTTATGTAGCTTTACTAATGTCAAGTTGTCAATCATTAATCAATCAAATCCAAGCCCGATTCTTAGTATGGGCCAGATGACCAAGATCAAAGGAGCAAAGATGCCGAGAATGGTGAAATCATTTTACCGCAGATTTTTGTGCGCGTTTATTTGTTTATTTTTTATTTTCAGCATCTCATGAGAAATACATGTGCAAAAAAAGCCTTTATTATTATAAAAAATCTAATTTATCAAAGCCCAAACTAGGGGGATTTAAATTTTTTAAAATTGAAAAAAAAATTAGTGTGCCAACAATTATATTTACCCCAAAAAATATATCAACAATTTCAGAGTTTGAAAATCTGAAATTATTTGAAAATTAAGTATTTTCAGATCTTGAAGGGTAGTTTGGTTTTTTATTTTATTTTTCTCTCATTAAATTTTTGAATTTTCAATATCCGAATTAACAAAATACATGATTTAGTGGGAAAAATATAATTTTGGGATTTTAAATAATCCAAACATTAATATCATAGTAAAATTTAGATTTTAAATATAAAAAAATTTAGGGATGCTAAAATTTTTTGAAGGTCTACTCTCTTTTTTTTTTGGTTTATTTTATGCTTTGAAGAACCAAAATATGGGGTGCAAATTATTACTCCATTTTGTACTAAATTTTACAATTAATTTGGGTTATCTCACACAGTTGTGAAAACCTGTAAACTCAACTAACAAAATGAATGTCTTTTACTTACCTTGGAGTCTATTTTTGATGGTTTGTATCTACATGTCTGGTCTTAGCATTACCGAACAACATAAAAGCATAACGTTTATTTTTAAAAAAAATACGAAGTTTCAAGACAATGAAAAGCCTCGAGCGAAGAAATAAAATAAAATTCACCCTTCTTACCTCTTGAGTGTCACACCATTACCCAAGCTTCACACCCACAGTGTTACCCAAGAAAGATAAATATATAACATTTACCTCACATTTTCCTAAACACAAATACCTTAAATTTTTCCAAACATAAAAAAATAAAAAAAAACGAGTTAATCCACGTGTGTACAAATCAACGGGTGCTTTATATAGTAAGAGATTTTAGGAGAGATGGGAGGGGTTCGTGACATAAAGACAGAGTTGAGTTAGTGTCTTTTCAAGAGAGAAAATTTTGGAACTTAAAAAGGTAAATATAAATAAAAAAAGATAATGAGAGATATAAAGAGCAAAATTAAGAAAAAAATTAATAAGAGATATAAATAGAAGATTCTTTAGGAGTTGTATCTTTTTTAATTTTGAGAAAAATAGGTATCAAAATAATTAGTAGATATTCATCACTACTAATTAAAAATGCCACAACAATTTCATATTTTGAAAACATGAAATTTGAATGAAATTATATTTTTGGATTTAAATGTTAAATTTGAAAAAAAAATAAAAAGAAAAAAGAATAGTGTGCCAACAATTATATTTATCCAAAAAAAATGTCTCAACAATTTCATATTTAGAAAATCTAAAATTTATTCAATTTTAGCATCCCTCAAATTTTGTACATTTAAATCTAAAATTTTCTATAATGTTAATATTCGGAATTTTTAAAATTCAAAAATTATATTTTCCTACCAGATCATGTATTTTTGTTCATTCAAATATTGAAAAGGTGCGTGTCATACAGATAGAGAGTTTAAAGGATTTGCACATTTTCAAATATTAAG